AAGGAAATGCATCTAATTAAATGTATCTTTTTAAGGAGATGCAACTGACTGAATCTGTCTATTTAAGGAGATGCATTTGTGTCTTTTTAAGGAGATGCAACTGACTGAATCTGTCTATTTAAGGAGATGCATTTGTGTCTTTTAAAGGAGATGCAACTGATTGAATGTGTCTTTTAAAGGAGCTGTATCTGAGTGAATGTATCTTTTTAAGGAGACGCATGTATGTCTTTTTAAGGAGATGTATCTGATTGAATGTATCTTTTAAAGGAGCTGCATCTAAACAAATGTATCTTGTTAAGGAGATGCATGTGTGTCTTTTTAATTAGATGCATCTGAGTAATGTGTCTTTTAAGGAGATGCATATTTTTGAATGTGTCTTTTAAAATAGCAAAAGTGTATTGCTGCCATAGAACTTTTTTACTCCCGTTTCCAAATAATGAAAAAACTCATCTCTTGAAAATTGCAGAATCCAAAAACCTAAAAATATCTTAACCTTTAAAATGATAAAAAAGAAGCAAAATAGCACTTGATTGCTAACATCCAGTAACAAATAGAAAACTTCAACAACCACTAGAAAAATATAAATATGGTATGGAATGTCTTTTGATTGCTCTTTTTTATATATTATTTGGCAAAATAAAGTTTACATAAATACAAAAATAACTGTTCTTTGAATGAAAACATGTGGGTTTGTTGTGCTGATCTTTAAGATCAGGAAACCACAAGTTTACCGATCAACAATTTCTTTTATAGTAGAATCGTGACAGGAAATGCTTGGCTTATGGACAGAATTGTAGTATACAACAGAGGATTATCATCAGTTTGTTTGTTAGTTGTTCGTTTCTATGGTGAGGTTATGTTTTTTTGCAATAGAGAACATCAATATTCAACTTGATCGATTGAAGTGCCCATGGGTGTTGAACTTGAATTTTGTTTTTCATTTGATCATTTTAGTTTTATTTCTATTTTAACATTCATGGGAGAAGAAAGTGTTTTTCTTGAAAAATTCACCAGGTTTCTCATCAGATAGACCATGGTCTTAAAGGTGAAGAATAGGGAGAGACTATTTGTGTGCCAGCCAAAAGGAGCACCTAAAAAACATTTTTGAAAAGGGATATTATCTTTTGGCACATGATGAAACATGATGGACGTTAATTGTTAGAGGGGTCAGATCAAATATCAATGTGGCACAGTCATGAAACTAATTCTGTAGGCCCATGGGGCATTTCTTGTATCATACTTTTGATAGTCTAGCTCCAAGCCCTTGTCTTATGTGAGAAGGTATTTAGTAAAGTAGAGGGGGGGGGGGGTCAAATAGGCTTGTAGCTAAACTATAAATTACATTTCAATATTTATTCTCAGAATGTATCTTCTGACTGATAAATGTTACTTGCTACCTGTCCCCACATTAGAAAATCTGATGATCCACCCATTATATTTTTGAAAACAAGAAAATCTTGAAATGTCCATGTGAGTGAACAGTTTCCACTAATCAATGTTGACAAAAACACACTGGATACTAGTCTTAATTATGTAACCTTATATTCAATCTGCAAATTGCTCCAAACATTGTAGTAAATGATGGAACATTTGTTAATTGGGCATAAACATTTTTCTAAGGTTCTGAGCAGAAAGAAACTAAAATAATTTTGAGTGGAGTAAGAAAGTAAAAACCTTATTTACCCTTTATGAGGAGTGTGGCTGATTCTCTAAGATAAAACTTTGTCTAGGCCTACACTTTTTTCCAGAGGCTTTTTTTGTCACAAAAAAGTTACAGATCGGTTAATCAGGACAGTGTTATCTCCTCTGATATCGATCACTCTTTACAGCTGACATTTTCAGATTTCAGTTACAACAAAATACAGTAAAACCGGTCTAATCTGAATGCCATTGCCAAAAGTGTTTGGATTCGCAGGACCGTGTTCACATTTTGAAATTTTTTAACATTGAAGAGTACAAAATGGGGCCAAAAAAGCATTCATATTGAGAAGTGTTCAGATTAGAGAGATGTTCAGATATACAGGTTTCACTGTACCTTAATAAAGTTTCTTGAAAAGGGTACCTATTTACCAAAACTATAACTTCATTTAATATTTCTAGAGTGTAGAATTCTAATGATAGGCTCTTGATACCAGGGTCTTACTACTGTCGTATTCGGAATCACTCTACATCCAGTTGGTTAGAATAAAACGTGTTGGGCGGGGGTAGGGAGAAGATATTGAATGTCATGTTTGAGGAAATATTGAATAAAAAAGTTGCCCTTCTTCGGTTTAATTGTTCAGCCCTGAAGGAGTAGTGAACTAGTAGTAAATACTGCAAGAGGCAATGTAACTAGAACTCTTAGACTAAACACTGCTTTTATAAACAATTATATAAAAGTTACAAGCTATACACATGATACAGTATAGTTCATCTGACCCTTGGTTCAATATTATGTTACTTGATTTGGGTCTAAATAGGCCTCATTTTAAAAAACAATTTTTTTTTTAAAAGAAAATGGGACATATTTCGAATTAGGATATTTTGAAAAATGGGTCCTAATTTTTATCCTCAGGGATCTTTCAATTTTTGTCACCCCCCCTAGCCTCCCCCTCCCCCTGGCCAAAAATTCTTTCAAAATCATGCAGTTTTTCACCATTTTGAGCCCTTCTCAAGTGATTTTAGCCATATTTTGGACAAAATTGTGAAATGTGAACCCCCCTGGATATTTTAGAAAACTGAACCCCCCCCCTTGGCAAATCCTGGCTACGGGCCTAAATCTGTTTTAATAATTTCTAAGTATTTCACAATTTTACAACAGAACATAATGTTCTAAAGATAGATACATGTTTGTCCAATTGTAGGTTTGAAAGTTTGTTTTAAGATGTTCTTTCTCAAGACATGTTTCAATATACCATTTTAAAGAATTTGCATTTGTGTCTCTGAAAGAGGACATATGGTTAGCAGGGGTTTCACTGGCGGATCTAGAGGGGGGGGGGCTGGGGGCCAAAAAATGCCTTAAGACCCCAAAAAGTGGGCCTTTCTGGTCATTACTGGCCTTATTTTTTAATTTCAGGCCAAATTTTGAAGAAAATGGGCCTCAAAATTTCCACTTTTCAGTTTAAGGGGCCCAAAATTTTTAACGCGCAAGCGCAAAAGTTTTTTTCTCTCAACTGAAATTTGGCCTCCCCCTTATTATCCCATCGAACGAAGTTCGGAGGGATATAGGGAACGCTTCCGTCCGTCCGTCCGTCCGTCCGTCCGTACGTACGTCCGTACGTACGTCCGTCCGTCCGTACGTCCGTCTGTCCGTCCGTCCGTCCGTCCGGGCAATAACTCAAATACCGTTGGCCCGATTTTGTTCATATTTTGTACACATATACCTTATGGGGGTAGAAGTTCTGCTCGAAAGCCGATTTTCAAAATGGCCACTCATTTCAAAATGGCGGCCATTTTAGTGCCGATTTTACAGTAATTTAGGTGCAATATGTAAAACTGTTATATCAATATGTTTTAAATGTAAAAAAATTATAAAGGACATTAATAATGCTACAAATGTAGATATTAAAGAAGCACATGGCAGCCATCTTGAAAAATGGCGGCCTTTACTCGTCATTTTAAGGTTTTTAGCTATAACTCAAAAAATAGTGGAGCGATTTTGTTCATATTTGGTATGTGAATACTATAAGCATTGTACACTGTCTAAAGACACTTTTGGTAGAAGGCGGCCATTTTGAAAAAAATTTTGAAAAATGGCCGCCATTTTAACGTATTTTACTATAACTCGAAAAGTAGTGGAGCGATTTTGTTCATATTTGGTATGTGAATACTATAAGCATGGCACACTGTCCTGTGACACTTTTGGTAGAAGGCGGCCATTTTGAAATTTTTTTTGAAAAATGGCCGCCATTTTAACGTATTTTACTATAACTCGAAAAGTAGTGGAGCAATTTTGTTCATATTTGATATGTGAATACTTTAAGCATGGCACATTGTCTAATAAAACTTTGGGGAGTAGTCGGCCATTTTGAAAAATGGCCACCATTTTTATGTGTGTTATTTTACAAGTACGTGTGCGATTTTTCAAAAATTTTAGAGGTGGCTACTGAAAAGCATATTATTTCTTCTGATGACAACTTGGCTAGTGAGCAACCATTTTGAAAATGGTGGCCTTTCTGGTGTGTTGTTTTATGATATTTGCTATTCGTTTGTAAAAATGCCAGCCATTTCTGTTCGATGGGATTCGCTACGCTTTGGCGTTGCCGTTGTTCTGGTTGCTTCTCAGATCCACCCCTGGGTTTCACAGTACTAAATGTCCACATTCTTTATCCACATCATTTTTGGGAATCCAAATGTATTCTTATCTCACAAAAATGCTCCCTCATTTATTTTTGTTAATTATTTATTTAATGAATAGTTGTGGTTTACTCTATTGACAATCGTGTTTGAAGGATGATGGATGGGATTTTTGAATAAAGATTTTTGATTATTGGGAGATGATGTGAACATATTTCTATATTTGTCGTAAGATATCTAATAGTCCTTGAGTTTAGTTGTCTTTGTGAATGTCGTAAAAAAATTACAATTTTTCTGTTCTAGTTAGAGATATCCTTTGACTTGTTTTCACTTGAATGTTGCCCCTTGCACAGTTTATGATATAAATATATTCGAGTGCTTGATACTAATGTAATGGACATTTCAATTATTTCTGCATAATTTTATTTTCCAAATGTTATTACTTGTCATTTGTTATAAATGTAAAAATGAGCGGGTATTTTATCAACAACTAACCCACAGCCTCCCTAAAATATCACCTGTACGGATTGACCAACGTAGCCTACTAAAAATAACCTGTAATCCTATTACTGCATAACGGCTAAACCAATGAAGTAGACTAAACAAAGTGTGTGGCCAACAAATGGACGATAAAACTTTTGACCAATGAAAATCAAGATTAGCTACTTAATATTCATAAGTTAACATGTAGACTTGCATGTGTAAATCTGTACTACACTTGCTCAGTGAATTTTAGAGAGTTCGCACGAGTCGAAATTTGGCAGAGAAAGTTGGACTTTTCTTAGATTTATAAGTGTGTAGGAGCGAAATTGTTCACTCAGTGCACATAGATTGACTTAGAAAGACCGTAATTATTAACCAAAGGATAGTTTAGACTAGGAGATTACAGGAACAGTTTTACAAGTTTTATTAGTCTCAACATTACTTTCTCTGAAAGTTTCTGATAATTTTATCAACTGTGATTATTGAAACCATACACAAAGCTACTTCCAACAAAAACACTAGAACTCTTAATTTTCACTTGGGTAAGTTACTTGCTCTCAGGACTTTTAAGTGAAGCGAGCCATTTGGAACAGTATAATGTCAGGAATAAAGTTTTTAGCGATCGCAGTAGGGGTCCTCTGCGTCTTGGAGTTTGCGAGTGCAGGATGTGGCCCTCACCATAAACGGGTGAACGCGATGTGTTGTCCAGGACGTAATAATACCTGCGTTGCCCATGGAGCAAGAATGAACCATAAGCATGCCAACACTAAACGATGCTACTGCGATGAAGATTGTCTGAGACTTGGCGATTGTTGCACAGATTACCCAAACGTCTGTGAAGGTACTGTAATCATTTTATGTTATTTAATCAGATACATTCAAAGAACCTCAAATGCCAAATGGGGTGCGGTAAAATAAAAATGACAATTGATGAAAAACAATGATTGATTGAAAGATCTCAGACATATTGATTGGAATTTCTTTGATTGAATTATCAATTATCTCAAGACGAATCAATTCTTGATTTGAATTTCCTTGATTGCATGATCATCAACAAATTGAATGATTGACAAATTTGCACATATCATGTAACAGATAACACTTTTGAGTTGTTGATGGTTTATAGGTGTTATCATATGCAAGAATAACACTTATCAACATTTCCTAACACTTTCCCTCATATTTTGAATCAGTATCAATGGATCATCATTAATTAAAGGAATGATGCAGCTAATTAAGATTAATTAACAATTTACCAAATTTCAGCTTCAATCATAGAGCAAAACCAGAAGTTGAAGAAATTACGATCTTTCTATGTTGTTAACTGGGTGGTTTTTGATTTCTATCTGTTCACATATCTCAGCACCATTCTATGAGGCCTTTTATTCCCATATTACACTTATAACAAGGTGTTTATTGTAGTTTGTGTATTAATGTGTTGTACCTACGTCAATTAAAATTCAATAGCCCTCAAAAATGTTTAACCAAAATGGTTGTTTCGATGTTCACTTAAAATGCTCTTAGTGAAGAAAAGAACAAATTTTTCTTGTCTTTCTATAGAATTTAGGTAATGTGAAACCATTTTACTTTTCAGTCTATTTAGTATGTTTGTTATCCAATTTTAGAAGGCTAGACATAACCAAAGGGTTTTAATGAAAGGGTTCTCTAATATAAATCATAGATCACCGAAGGCGATTTAATAAATTTTTATACTAAATATTAACAGTTCTTAAAATGTACTTCATAGTCAGACTGGTCTCATGTTATACCTGCACAAGTGGTCTAGCAATTAACCCTCTCATGCCTGTGAAATAACCAAATATAGAACTTTTCGGATTTTGGGAGTGAAAGGGTTAAACTAACTTAAAAAGTTTGTTTATTGATTTATAAACCTCAAATTGATAAAGAAACTGTTAATTTGTATATGAAACTTTGATCATCTTATAAGGCCACCTGTGTGAAAAATGCCACGGTGGTCATTTTTTAAAATGAGAAATAGAGTGGAAAAGAGTGGAATCAGCAAGGAATAAACGTACAGACATATAGTCGACACTCTAAATTGTATAGAAATGCAAGAAAATCTGAAAGTTCATTCAAATTTTAGAGAGATAAAGTGTGAAATAGGCAAGAATATTGTTGTTATTCACTTTGTGGTTTGATTTATAACCTTAACTGAAATCAATCCTCAAATATATCAAACTATATATTTCAACTTTCAAATTGAAACTTTTCAATTTTCAGATGCTCTAAAGAAAAGCATGTAATTCTGTTAAATTTTTAAATATAGATTTAGTGGAAGCTTATGTTACTAAAAGAATTTTTATAAGGCTATGTCATGTTTAACATATAAAAGACTGGTAAATGATTTATAATAGGGCTCAACTTAGCCAACCGTTCATTGTCAGAAATATAATGGCACGTAATATTATTATTTAGGTTTACACAATAGCCAGTGTTATTATACGCATAGCCCAAATACGGAATAATACATCACAATATACCAGACAGAACCAAAACAGACCCGTTTAATGCACCATTGATACGTGTTAAATACTTTGATAATATTATTTGATGGAATTGTCGGAAATAATTATTACACCGAGATGGAATTTCAAGTTCCTTTAAGGGATTCTTGCAAAGATGTCATCGACTTGACGAAATTGATACGTTCTCTCGTTTAAGAACAATAGAAGTGTCTTTTTCAACATCTTTTTTCAATTTATGAGTCTTGGGAAACTATACTTCTATTTGTGACATTTCTTCCTGACATTTCTTCCTGACATTTCCGTTATACTTTGATGCAAATCGCAGACACTTGTAAGATCTTGTTCAAAGAGCTGCCTTTCAACTAAGAATTCAATATTTTTCTAAATTCATCATATGAAGCCAATAATCTCTGGGAATTAATTTTGCCCAAAGGTGATAAGTATGTACATACCCTTTATAAAACCTAACTTCGTTTACACTCTAATTAAGAGTTAATTCTTTATCTACTATCGAGAGACGTATTCAGAAAGCCATCACCCTTGCATTTTTTCTTCAGTATCAAACTTCAAAAATCATTTCTGAAAGTATACTGAAAGGGTGTAGTGTGACTATAGCCTTGAATTGAGGGTATAGAATTGAGACCCTTTAGAATGGCCTTGACATTGAATGGTGTCACAAAAGAACTGAATATCCACAATGCGCCATTTGGTATAACACAGAATAACAGGTAATGTCAATGACACTTGATTAATATTATGTTATCCCAAAAAGTAAAATACTATAATGGCCATGTTTTAAAATGTAAAATACTGTGATCATGGAAGAAATCAGCAAGAAAAAATGTAAACAGGCATGGAGTTAAAACTCTGAATTGTACAGAAATCCAAGAAAATCAAACCCTTTATTCAAATTTTAGAGAGAAATTGAGTGAAATAAACATGCCATGACAGACATTTTTTGTCTGCCATCTTATATGTTATGATATCACTTACAATCAGTTGTCATTCTAAAAATGGCATAACTCCTCAAAATGTGGCATAACTTAGTTTAACAGGTTTTGGTATCACTACAGTATGTCAGTCAGTAGATTGAATTATGAAGATTGAATCTCAGTGTACTAGGCAAGATAAGTATATACAGTGAAACCAGTCTATGGGAACACTTATGGACCTATCAAAATTAATTTTTTAAGTGATCACAAGCTAAGATGCACATTTAGGGTACTTTTACAATAGAGGGAATTGCTTGAATACTTTTGAGGATAAATGTTCACTGTTATAAGAAGTTACCACAAATCATATATTCACCTTCTCTGTAAATATGTTCAACTGTTTAATAGTCAACTTGTCATTTTAGTATATTTTACAATCGTCACTCTGCTATATTTTGTATCCATGGTTCTAGTATGATTATTTATATCGTAAGTGTCAAAAGTGGTAATAGATTTGGTTGTAAAAGATCACCTTTCCTGCACCCCTCTGATGAAATTAGAATTTTGAGAATTTCAGTTATGCCCTGGTACTGTCAGCCCCATTCTGATAATCATCATTCCCTTTTCTTTCTAACTGATCATATCCCTTACTAATTTGACTTTCAATCATGTGAAAATTTCAAACAATTTGGGTTATGCAAAATTGCAACATATTGAGAATAAAGAAATACGATGTTACAACATGAACTGTCAAACGAGATGTTTAAATGTGTAATTACTTGATTGTATAAATGATAAGACATATATTTGTATTCAAATGCTTTTGACAGATACACTCTAGATATGTTTAGATTAGTCTTGCTTTAAGCCCTTGTTATTCCTCTTTCTCATGTATCAAACTTCACCTAAAGATGATGGGGGGGGGGGGGGCTTTATTCAAGACAAGGGCTAAACAGAGCATATAAACTATACAACATATTCCTTCATTTCTGGAATATCTTTTATTTGTTAATTTTTAGTACATGGCCCAAGAAAACATGAACATTTTCACAAAATAAGTTTCAATAGCTTTTCTTGGGAAGAACTTTCTTTGGGCTGAGCATGAAACTGGTTTGTAAAATTATAAGTACATCATAAAATTGTTCTACATTGAAGACTAGATAATAGATAAGAAAAGTAGACCAGTATAATCTCAATTTCCCTATATTTGATTGAAGTTTATTTGATAAAGGTACTATGCTGGTATTCAGTAAATCTGTCTGGGTTATCACCTGTGTAATATACAGTCCTTCATCTAATGTTAATATTACCACATACACTGTTATAGCCATTCACCCTTTGTAAAAACGTCACATCTCAAAAAATAAGCTTCATCTAAACTCTAAAGAAACTGTGTATTGATTTGGCTTGACCAATCAGAAATGTCTTACAAAGTTTGATCTACCAGGTCTGATTGGTTAACAGGATTTACTGTCATCTACCTATTTGCAGCTGACATTCAAATCATATTCAAACTCCAATGAAATGCTCAAGTCAGTACTCTGATGAGGTCATATTCTATTCTACCCCCTCAGAGGGTAGGATTGTAATGGTATCCACAGGGTTTAAGATCAAATAATGCGAGGTTTACATGAAAGAAGAAGTCATTAACCTGCCATTAATCTGCCAAATTGATGATATTTTAAATCATGAAAAGTGAATCATTATATTACATTAGGACAGACTTACTGGTGTATATACCCTAAATTAAAGTAACCATTGATTACGTTTCTAAATGCAGTTTGATGGAAAAAGAGTGGAATCAGCAAGGAATAAAGTAAATAAACATTTAGTCAGTATTCTAAATTGTATAAAAATGTCAAAAAACTAAGTAGTTCATTCAAAATTAGAAAGAAAACCATGAAATAAGGATGATCTCTATGACGTTTTCTGAAAGGTTGTTTTAATTTGCAGTTGATAATATTATTGTTTTTCTGGCAAGAATGTCTCTTTAATTTACATTTTGGCAAGTTTTTCTGTCAGACAAGTTTAAAGTATAACCAATATTGTTGTTGAAATTAATAACGGCTATGAAAAATAACAGTTTTGTCTCCTTCAGTATATCTCGTGATTATTGGGCCCATGTATGTCTCTTAAGAAATTCAACTCCCGCCCAACCTTAACATTTTCTTAGAAAATATTTTGAGATGAATTTTAATGAACCAGAAATGACTTATGCAATGATGCAATGTATAGACATTATGGATTGATGAAAAAATAAACTTGCCTTAAGTTATGGTTTTTTGTTTTCCTTATTGATTCAATATTTTTACTCTATTTTGCGTTTGGAAACATGCCTAATTTTCCTCACATTTTTCTTACTAGGTGTTATGTACGTTTCCATCAGTTTGTTACATTGTTTGAATTGGGTTCTATTTAGGTTG